AAACATACTTCTAAATTGAAACATCACCATAACTGGTTCATCTTAAACTCAGGTAGCCTTACCTGAGGCATCCATAACAAACACCTCCTTAACTGACGGAGTCTTTGGTGAACATATTGTTGACATAAACTTCTTTTAACTGAATCATCCTTAACAAATACATCTTTACTTTAAGGAATCCTTATCGCTGTCCTTAACTGAACCATCTTGAACGAACAGTCCCTAAAATGTAGCAGAAAAATGAGAGATTTTTTTAACAAGCTTACATGAAAATACCAACTTTAAATGCTTAAATTATAAAAAATACTGTAACAATTGGGTTATTTTCCCTTCTTCGGGACAGACTGTAAAAACAAGCCAAGGTTGATATTTTCAGCTTCAGTTGCTTTATGTAAGCAGAAAATTCTCACTTGGAACATATGAGGAAATGTAGATCTCTTCATGCTAACACACCCAAAAACCAGCAAGCTCAATTTTGCTCAAACTCTCCCTCTCTCTCTCTCTCTCTCTTTTTTTTTAAAACATCTATTTGGGTTGGGACCAAGGTTGGAAAAGACCATAAAAAGGATCTGCGAGAGTAATGGCTAATTGATTAAGTGGAGTTTAGAATAAAAGTTAAAACTGAGGCTTAACTATAGCAGTTGCTATGGGAGACTTCAATAATATTTTAAATGCAATGGAAAATTGGAGTTGGTAGTTGATACTCTTTTTGACAACTTCTTGTGGAGGCTGAGGGCAAAATCCTGGCCCTGTGGGAGTGTTCCCACTGACTTCAGTAGGGCCAGGATTTCACACACGTATCTTCAGCTATACTGAAGCAACTCCACTGCCTAGTTGTGTGAGTGTAATTGAAAGCAGAATTCAATCCAGGAAATACAATCTCTGCACATAATTCAATATTGTAATGTTGGATTAGTTTTAATTAACAGGCACACAGTACTTCCAGCATTGTAATGCTATTTTGCAAGTATTCACAAATTAACTTTAATTGTCCCATCTGAAGATGTTTTGAGCAGGCAGGAACATTGGACTTAAAATAGCTTTTAACACTTTTTTTGTGTGCAAACCTAAAATGTATTCAGCAATGTGGACTATTTAAAACTCTTACGACACTTTACTGAATGTTAAATTCTGCAGATTGGCTACATTTTAAGATAAGTCATGAAGTTTATAATGTATATTATAATGTCAGGAATGAGCAAGATAACTTGGCTTAATTTACGTAGGAGTAAGTGATGAGAATCAGAACTCTGTTTTATAGGAATTCTTGCTTTGCAGAACGAAGAGAGAAACAATCCACAGAATAATGTTTGTCATATGTTTGTGAATGAAAGTAATTTAATCTACTGAAAATTCAATATAAATTCACATGAAAATCATACAGTGCGGCAGACTGACCTAGGTTCTTTGGATGCTGAAGGGATCCTGGCCTGTCTGCTAAATGATCTTTGCTTTTGTCTAAACAACCAATGAGCATTTTGAAGTCTGACATCTTTTGAATCATGGAAACTGGAATATTTGTATCTCTCACCTGTACCCAGCAGGCACAATCACCACACTACCACCCCTTTGCGGCCTGCGCCACTCATCAGCATTTAAAACTATTGTCTGCCTGCAGTAGGGAGGAGGAGTGTTTTCTAAGGCATAGCACAGGGATCGGCAACCTTTTGCATGCGGCTTGCCAAGGTAAGCACCCTGGCGGCCGGGCCAGTTTGTTTATCTGCCGCGTCCGCAGGTTCGGCTGATCACGGCTCCACTGGCCGCGGTTCGCCATGTCAGGCCAATGGGAGCTGCGGGAAGCGGCGTGGGCAGAGGGATGTGCTAGCCGCCGCTTCCCGCCGCCCCCATTGGCCTGGAGCGGCGAACCGCGGCCAGTGGGAGCTGCAATTGGCCGAACCTGCGGATGCGGCAGGTAAACAAAGCGGCCCGGCCTGGCCCCCCAGGGGGCTTACCCTGGCAGGCCGTGTGCCAAAGGTTGTCGATCCCTGGTATAGCAGATCATCTTGGCTTGTGACCCAGCTTTTTCATCCAGGTTATATGGGTGGTCTAAATTTGGATTAGACAATCTGAGGATGTATGTTATTTCTGCCAATGCAGAATGAAATCTGGAAAGGTATACTGTACTCAGGCTTGTATAGACTTCATTGGGTTCACAGAGTAACGTCACTGTTGAAGCAGCACTGCACATATTTATCCCATTTTCCATGTATATAAAATACGTAAACAAATAAAGATAAACCATAAAAGGAAAAATATTTCCTGATATTCAAGTGATATTTTTAAATCTCCTAGAAATATATTAGAAAATGAAATCTTAAAATAATTCAACTACAGTAATGAGATGTTGTTGTAAATATATTATTGTACTTTTGGAAATTCTGGCAAACTGTAACAATAATTTGACTATTGTGAGTTGAAAAGGGGGAAACCAGCATTAAATTTCCAAGGTGTCAGAATGATACAGAACAATAGAAATCTAAAAGATTTGTTCTTATTTAATTCAGTTTCTTCTGAAGTCTTACTTAAGATATTTAAAAACAATATTCATTTTGGGGCTTTGCTTACATTTTAAGCTGCCTGTCAAGGAATATTATGCTCTTGAACATAAGTCCAGAGACAAAACAGAGCTTAGCTGATAGCTAAAATGTACTACCGACATTTTAAACAAGGATTTTTAAAATTTCTAGAATGGCCTGCTGGCATTAGTTTCCCTCCCTTCCTCCATCCCACTTCTTCCCCCACCCCCCCAATAAATAAATAAACATGAATCCATGAAAGTCTGGTTTGAACTGCAGCTTTGACCAAATATAAAAGTATAGGGATGCTTAAGGAAAAGCCTTCAATGGATATTTTAAGTTAATATATAATATTGTTTTTTATGAACTAGATGGACAAGAGTTAAAACAAAGAACTACCTAGAGGCTTCTAGTGTGGGGGGTCCATTAAATATACAGCCCTGTTGATGCTAATTTACTGGTAGGCTTCAGTTGTTTAAGAAAGCTCATATCAACTCATTTTGCAAAAATTATCTTCTATTATTAGATGAAATGCCTTCTGTTATTGCCACTGGAGGAATAGCTTTGAATCAGGGTTGTGTCACAAATGGAATTAGTTGATCTCAGTTCTATAGCATTTAGCTAACAGAATTATGAAGATTATACTGACATAATGAATAGGCTTTGGTCAGACCAGAGTAGTCCCCTTGAGATGACTGAGATTCAGTGCACTGCTGTTCTCTTTCTTTGGTTGACATGAAGGATTTGATCTTCAGTACAGCCTGTCCCCATGGTTTTGTGGGAATTATTCTTATTACTTGCAAAGCTCAGTCTAGCTGCGTTTACTGAGCAGTTTAGCTTTGTTGGTTCTGGAAACCGATCTCCGATTAATTAGGCTGCTTAAGCAGAAATCTCTGTCACTCCTGATGGAACCTGTATTAAGGAGAATGGAGTGGTAGACGAGTTTGTAAAGAACTGAATCTCTTTCGTCTAACTTTAAAATAATATTTTATTGTGTAATTAAGAGTTCATATGGGAATATGTGAACTAGCCTATATCCTTCTAGTCTACAGAATCCTTCATGCACCATTTTCCTTTCCATTCTCAAAATAAAGGTATTTCTGTGAGTGTTGTACTTAAAATAAATATTTTAAAGATGTGAACTGTTTTTTTAGGTGAAATCGAAGAGCCATACAGCATTACGGATTAAAGGCAAAGAAACCCTAAAAGCATCTAGTAATTTGTAGGACATTTCTCTCATACAGCGATATAAAACGTGAACTCAGAATAGTCATTCCTAAGAAAGATTTTCTTTCCCAATATGTTAAATTATAGGAAAATTTTATGTTGTTACATGCAGATTAATTGTGTTACTGCAAAGAGTTACATTAACAACATTGTGGACATTACTCTCAATGGGAAGTATTCTAGGGAAAGTGGGAGCATTCCTGTTCTTATTATTCCTGTTTAATATCTATATTATGGTAACATCCAGATGCCGCTATCAGGATAGTGCCCCTATTGTGCCAAACATTATACAACTACGTGTGAAAACACCACCCCTGTCCTGAAGAACATATACTTTAAGAAAGAGTAAAACATGCCTTTTTTACATCACCAGTATTTGTTAGACTTATAGAAATAAGTGGAAGTCTAATAAACCGTTCAAATTTATTTTAAATTGATTAGCTATCCTATGGTTATCCATGGAAAATAAAATGTTATGCTAAAAAGAATATAATCCCAATCTTTGGTCTTAAATTAAACTCCAGATTATGTTCCAGTAACAGATTCAAATCAACATGTGGAGTTCATTTCCTATTGGAACTTACAATATAAATATTTAAGACCACATGTGGTGCTAGTGATAATTGTCGTAGCAGGCCATTCTGACAGGGATCTGAGGAGTGATTGCAAATACTTATTCTCCATCTAAATGTAACTTTCTACTTTTTAAATTGTTTCTTGGCACACAGTTAACAAATATTAAATTGAAATAATAAACCAGAATTTTCACATGTGGTGGAGGGGGAAGTAAATTATTTCAGTCATATAGGAACTTTCTTATACATTTCTTAGTCAAACTCAGTATCAGAATACACTATTTCAGCTGGCAGAGAGAGAGAGAGAGTGACAGTCCCCGGACCTCTAACAGATGACTCTCTAATGGAGTAATTTTGTCTGTTTCTATTAAACATCCGTCCATCCACATTTTTTGAGTGCAACATTGCAAACATGAATACTTACATGGTGTTCAATGCCTCTTGCGAAGTACTGAGCATTAGCTCCCCAGATACTTGGCACCTTGTGTGGTGGTCAGGCTCTTAATTTGGATGAAACACCTCTTGAAGTGTCAGGAATAGTTTTCCTATGCTGTCAGCAATAGATATATTGTACTGTATATAGAGCACAGTAATGAATATGATGATGTTTTTCCCATAATGCAGTTTTCCAACTGAAAATAATTTTTGTTGATAAAACTAAAATGTATACTCCTCCTCCTAGGGTGAGAAGGGAGATCAAGGAGAACCGGGACCTGAAGGCATGCATGGAAAAGATGTAAGTTGACTGATAACAGCAGTCTATCATTTATAACCGTTTAATGCTTACATATAAATAGCTTACATTATAAATTATATCCTCCAATAGAAAGCAGAAGACAGAATTTAGAGTTTAGAGAAATTAGTTTAGAGAATACACATGCTGCGTTGAAAAGTAACAATGGATTTCCTCTATAACTCTTTGACTGTCTTCCGTTCTAAAACTTTCTTGATTAACTGTTAAAAAAGGAGAGAGAGAGAGATTATTGTCTAAAATGCCCAAAAGAGTCATCATTCCTGTTAGGTTTTAATCTGACTGATTTGAATGAGGTTAAACATAAAATGAAACAGTATAATGTAATGTAACAGTAGAAAATGTTACTTACACAGAAACAATGAGTGTCTGGTAAAGCAGTAAAAATAACTACTATACCTTAGGAAAAGAGAGAGAAGGGGTTTTGAAAGTCTGTAGAGCTTGGGAGCTAAACTGGGGAAGAAAATTTCAGGAGCAGGACTAGGAAACATTTGTGTGAGGTTTGAGATCATATAATGGGGGAGTCAGAGGTCAGGGAGCACCTAAGAATTACTGCTCAGGTGCCATGAAGGAAAATGGAACAAGTTTGTAGGTTGGAAATGAGCCCTGGGGATGTGTGTGTGTTTTACTGTTCATTTGTTTGGGATTTTTTGTGGGGGAGAGGGATCTTTTGGAGCCAAGGAGAAGCTGATGCTGAATCCCTGATGTCTGAGAAGGAAAAAGGGTTTGCTGGCTAGGGTCAAAGGTGACTATAGGGCAAAGGAGTTTTGTATTTGGAATAGTGTGCAGCAGTTAATCCAGATTTCTGTTGCACCAGAGGCTTCCCCCAGCACTTAACATTTCATAGGGACATGCCAAGGCACTTGATTATGTGGGCAGCCTCTTAGCTGTCTCCCACATTGCTGCACAAAGCATTGTGCATATGCTGGAGAATTCAGCAAGATGGTTTTAGGACCTATCCCCACCCCCATGCATCCTCTTCAGGAGTATCATCATGTCTCTTTTACAAGCCAAGTCTGTGTTTTGCTGGAAGTCTGGGATCTCCATGGGGAAAGCAGCAGGGCTGCTTTAAACCATCATTGCCAGTCTGCATCATACCACAAAGACTTCAAACATGTTCAGGTAAAGGGAGAAAAATTCCTTCAGCATGGGATCTCTTGCAGAAAACTAGTATCTGTCATCTGAACCTTCCTCACTTCTTCCCTGCACCCCCTTCTCCCTTGGACTGTGATACCCCTTAAGAAGCTGCTCAGGTGAAGGGCATAATACTGGCACCCTTTCCCCTTAGTGAGTCCTACTTCTGCCTGAAAAGAAAGGAAAAGGGGAGCAGGCAGAAAATCTTGATTTCTTTTTTCCTCCCCAGCTCAGTCCCAAAATGATGACTCAGAAGGTTTTAACAGCAAGACTACAACAAATTATTTATTTTGCCCTCTTAGGTCCCCTTTGTGACCTTCTAGGCTAGGGTCAACCTAGGTTAGGTCCTGATTCTGCAAGGTATAAATTCTGCAAATGTAGAGAGCCTGTAATGGGTATTGATGCCACTTAGCACCTCACAGAAAGCTGTCAAGTACATTGGAGGAGCTGAACCTGAATGTATAGATTCTGTTGAAAACTAGAAACATTATCAGGATCAGATCTGGAAGGCAGGAGAATTAGTTAGTGAAACACTTGGCCAATGGTGTATGCCCTGTTTGCTAATAACTGTGAACAATGAGTATCATTAATTGCATTGAAGCCTGACATGCAGTTTATAGCTTTTTTAAACATGCTTCCCATTTATGACACTCTTTATTTCAATTGGCTTTTTTATATAGTGTATATTCTTTGCAGAAAAGTTTTTTTTTTCTTATATTAGGGAGCTATATTTTTATACCAGAATCCAGTTTTTCTGCAGCCCACAATTCTTGATGTCTGGGCTGCTCTTGTCTCTCTGGAACTCATGGAGGCAGAACACCCCCCTCAGTGCTTGCTTGCTTCCAGTTTCTCTGCCTCCATGGCAGCATGTGGATGCTGGTTTTTACAGCTCCCGCCTTCACATCTGCCTAAGGGGGGCTTTTTTTGAATTAGGAGCAGTGGTGAGCAGTGATCCCTCTCCTGCCTTAGGTCAATTTTTTAGCCAGCTGTTACACCCGTCAAAGCCTCCTTGCTGGCTCCTCCTTCCCAGGTATGGTAGAGCAGCCTAAAAAGCACCAAATGAAAGCCAAATGGTGCTCCATCATGAGACTGCCTTCCTAGGCTTGAGTGAGTTATGCCCTGCCTGCACCCAGCCTTCCATCTCTAACTCTGTTTGGTGCTGGGGCTATGGGTCAGATAGGACGGTGGATTCCCTTACTCACCAGAGCAACATGACTCTGACATGGGAAAAATGGACCAGGAGTCTAGGGGCAGAGCAGGGAAAGGATCAAAGAATAGGAGCATCCCTGTCAGCTAACTCAGAGTTAAGTCCTAAGGAGCCGCTGAAGAAGAGAGAGGGCAGACATTGTGGGATCACGAACTCTCCATCCCTCCCTGTCCCCCAGGGAGAGTGCCCTGGAAAAAGAAGCAGCCCCTCTTCTTCCCAATCTGGCCAGGAGGACTCTGGAAGCATTCCCCCACCCCGAGTTGAATGGGACCATGTAGGTGGACTCAGAAAGAGATCTTGTGAGAGGACTTCAGGCCCTCAGCAAGGCTAGCTGTGGAGGAGCACATATGCTCTCTAAGCAAGCTAAAAAGTTTTAAAAAATCAAGGGAGGTGACAAAGGAGAAGAAAACGTATAAAAGGTTTAGGAGGTCTGAGACCTCTGACTCCTCTTCTTCCTCCCCCTGCTCCTCAGAGGACGGTGCATTGACGGTGTGATTTCCCGATCAGCACCAGGGAAAGACTCAGCAAATGTTTTTTCCTCTGAGCAATTTTAGGCCATGTGCAATGAGGTTGTATCCATATTCAGATTCAACCTGAACAAAATCCTGAGAGTAAGCTTCTGAGTGGATTTCTCCTCTCAAAATCTTCCCCTGAAGCTACAGTTCCCTGACACCCCTCCTTCAAGGAAGTAATTAGGGGTGAATGGGATAAACTAGACAAGAGCAAGCACATTAACAGAAATGATCTTGGGTTTTATAGGATCCAGGAACCAAAAATCCTGGTTACTGAGATGCTGAATGTTCATGTTGCTGTAGCATCCCTGGTTATTGAAAAATGAAGGCCACTTTCTAAAAAAGACTCTGAGGCCTCTTTATCCTCCCCCATCTCTAAAAGCCACTTGATTTGTGAGGGCATCTCTTTCCTGGCTGGAAGGTCTCAGACCCCTCGAGGATAGAGATCACCCTGAGTTTGGCTCTTTTTTAAAGAAAGTTTTCCCTGCAACAGCATTCATTGCTGACGCCTCAGCGGACACAAGGAGATTCTCAGCTAAAGCCATGGACTCCAGCTCAGTGACCAGGAGCCACCTATGTCTCCATCCCTGGAAGGTGGAAAACCACTTAAAGCAGGTTATGTGCTCTGCCAAATTCATGGGAGCCCTGCTTTTTGGAGAGAAACTAGACAAGGTAGTGGCAGACATGGCAGCAAAATCTAAAGAGTGCCTTCCAATGTCACACCATGCCTTTAAGAGAGCACAGAGCAGCCTCCAGACAAAAGCATTCCTTTCAGCTTTCATCCTCACAGAAATGTCAATGAAGATACAGCACATTCTCCAGAGGAAAGCTGTGGAACCATAGCTCGGGAGGAAAGCCCCAAGAGAACCCTGCCACTCCCAAAGCCTCTTTATAACAAAGACCACCTAGGTCTCCACCCGGAGCTGAAGCTTGGGGGCAAGATTTCCCACTTCCTGGAGTAATGAGTTGCTCTGACCATGGACCAGTGGGTCAGGGAGATAGTATGTCTGGGATACTCCCTCAAGTTACCAGCTCCACCCCAGGCATTTTTCATCCAGTCCCCCATCTCAAATGACCAAGTAGAGCATGGTCTAATCCAGAATGAGATTTCTCACCTCCTGGATATGGGAGTAATAGAGAGCATTCCCTTAGAATACAGATTCTCAGGGTTCTGCTCCATCTCCTTTATCATTTAGAAGCATACGGGGGACTCCAAACCATTATAGATCTCAAAAGGTTCAAGAAGTGGATGAAGAAAACAAAGTTCCAGCTGGAGACCCTAATCTCTATGGTGTCATCGCTAGGGGATTTTCTGAGTGCAATGGATCAGCTGGATGCATACCTCCACATACCTATCAGACCATGCCATCCCATTTACAAAGATGGTGGTGGTAATCGTATCCAGATGCCCATCACAGGATGACATCTTAATCAGAGCTCCATTCCCAGCAGTGGAACACAGAGCTACATACCTGACCTTGAATCTCTTGCAGGCACATGGTTTTATTATCAAAATCAAGAAAAGGTCCTTGATTCCTTCCACCCAAATAACTCACTTGGAAATAGACATAGACACTTTAAAAGCAAGGATGTATCCATCTCTAGGATCCAGAAGATTCTTGACCTCCTCATGTAGCTTTGGAACTGCAAATGCACTGAGCCTTCAACTGCTAGTTCCCCTAGTACCGTGCCTAGGGATCACTTCACGAGCGCAATCACACATCAGGCTCCTTCAAGGCTTTATCTTAAATGTATGGAACTACTCCTCAAAACACAAGAAAGATCAAGTGATAGTTCTGGAGTGGGTGATCAACTCCTTAAAATGGTGGTCAGCCCAGGACAATGTCCATAAGGGCATATCCATACGCCTTCCAAATCTTCCTGATCCTCACAGCCAATGCCAGTCTGGAGGTCTGGGGAGTGCACCTGGGGTCCCAAATGGTTCAAGGCACCTAGAACCTGGAAGAAAAGACCCATAGCATAAACCTCCCAGAACTAAGAGCAATCAAGCTGATGCTACTAGGATTCCAGCCCAGCCTAGAGGGGAGCCATGTCCTGTTTCAAACAACATAACCACAGTTGTATATGTGAACAACTGGGGGGAACAAGAAGCCCAGCATTTCATGTTGAAG